GCTGGCCAGGGGACTTCGGGATAGGTCCAGAAGAGAGGTTGATATTTACTGAGTGCCTACCTTTTCCACACTAATCATATCATTTATTTTTTTGTGATAACTCTGCTAACCTATTGCAGAAGAGGAAATTGAAGCACAGGGTATAAACTCAGACAAATTACTTGAACCTGCTGCTTTTTCCATTTTCTCTAATCTTTTTGGCATTGGACTGGATGACAAACTTCTTCATTCGTTTAATGATTGCATAATTGTCAGAAAATGACTTCACTTCCTTAATATTCAGTTTTCTCATTTGCAGAATGGAGATAATGGAGTCTACCGTTATCTACCTTATAGGAATTTCACAAAAACAAATAAAATGATAATAGGTGAAAGTAAATTTCATGCTGTCATCTCTGTAAAATTCAGTTGATTTTAGGACTTCCCATTTATGTTTTTATTATGTTTTGACAAAAAAAATCTGTAATTCCCTTTTTGATTATTGGTGTGATGTACAAGGCAAAGATTTATTTATTTTTTCCCATAGGAATAGTTAATTAGCCCATCACCATTTTTAATCAATGCCACCCTCCCCCCACGCTGTTCTGCATTGCCACCTTTTTAGTGATCGATGATATATGTCTACAAATCTGTCTCGGGATTCTGTTTTTTCCCACTTGTTTGTGTATACCCATACTGATGTCACATTATCTTCATTACTATCGATTTTAAATGATCCTTGACATCTGATACTGTAGTAGATTTGTTCTTTTTTCAGATTGCCTTAGCTAGATGTGGCTAAGCCGTTGACAATATTCAATTTACCAATCCCTAAATATATTTTAATTACTTAGACTAATGTCTTATTGCTTCCAGTGAGGAGATCTTATATATCTTTCCTTAGATTTATTCCTATGCATTATTTTTAAAAAATTCTTTGTTAAATATGATTTTTATTTTAAATTTTACTTTTTTTGCAGCTGGTATGTAGAGATAGATTGAGGGTTTTGTTTGTTTGTTTTTCACATTGACCTTGCATCCAGTACCTTGGTAGATTTACTTATTAATTTTAGTTTGGCGATTCTTTGGACTTTTTAATGTACACATCTATGTTATATATTAATAGCCATAGTTTAAATTTCTTTATTTCTAATTATTATGACTTTTGTTTCTAAGGCTTGCCTTTCTGCACTGCCTAGAACTGGTAGTCTGTTTTCAGTAGAGGTAGTGACAATGAATGTCCTTGTTTCATTCTCAATATCAAGGGGGATATTTGCAATACTTGATTAATGAGTGCTGTGTTTGCTTAGATTTTTAATAGATATCCTTTATCAGATTTAGGAAGTTCCACTGTGTTCCTAGTGTGCTGAAATTAAAAAAAAAGAAATCTAATTATCTTTTTTAAAAGTCTCTTTTAAATAACTAAATAGCCAAAGAACACACACACACACACACACACACACACACACACACACACACACATATATAGAAAGAGAGAGAGTTTAAAATGGAAAGTATTCAAACAGGCAAATAAAAACTGTAAATAAGAAACATGCATTTCCAGATTGAAAAGATCCGTTGACTTTCTTGCACAGTGATTGGAAAAGAGCCCACATCAGTGCACATCACTGTGACATTTCAGAATGCCAATGACAGAGAAGATTCTAAAGATTTACAGAGTAAGAAGGAAAGAAGGAAAGGATGAACCAAGGGCATATATATAAGCTCAGAATCAGACAATCTTTAGATTTCTTAAGACCAGCGCTAAAAATAAAAAGATGAAATAAATCAATAAAGCAATCACTTCAAAATCTTTAAGGAGAATTATTTCCTCCTTGAATTCTATACCTAGACAAACTATCAAGAAGGCATGAAGATAGAATAGAGATATTCAGACTTGCAAAGTCTCCAAAATTTCATCAGTCCCATGTGACTTCTCCCCTGCCATCCCTCTATCCTGCCAAATTATGAACACTTTTTCCCTCTCTCCAAAATTATTACAGCACTGCCTCACATGCAACATTATTTTGTGAAATATAATTAAAATGAATTATTAGAAACAATAAAGTACAGCTCAAATCTTATTATTTGATTCAACAGACATTAAATTTCATATTAATAAATATGATCTGAACAAACCTAAGAATTATAAAATCTATACATATTTATCATTACAAATGAATGTGTATGTATATATATATATAAATTAAATTGGTAGTCTTCATTAAACTAGAAAATTTTAGTTGTTCCACATTTGTAGCTTAAAAAATAGTCATTCCTTGTTTTAGACACATACATGTTTAGTTTAACCACCCAAGTTTTTTTTCCAAATTTAATATTTTTAATGCCACAAATGTGCTCATTTTTTGCTTGTTAATTTATCCATTCTAAGTTGGACTAATGGCAATAGTATCCCAGGGTATAATGTATACCTAAAATATTCCTATGTTTTGTTTTAATTACACTTATTGAAGTGAAACTAGTCTCCCAAAATATCTGACAGAAAGGGAAGAAGAGATTTCAAAGCTAATTGGGCATACTAAGGCTATTCAGTTACATCGTTTATTTAAAACAAAGCACATGATTCTATATTTTCAACATTCATCTCCTATTTTTTACCAATTGCTAGTTCCAGCAATCTATCATGTAAAGTCTTAAGTTTAAATTGTCTTTCAGTGAAAGAAAAGGATTCTGGATCCTTGACTATTCTATGGAATATATAAATATATATATAATAAAAATAAAAAGTTGTTTTATCAAATTTATGAACAAAGGTGTTCAGTGATAACTTTTCCCAAATGTGCAATTTCAAGATTATCTTCTACTTCACTGATAATTATGCTAAATTATAAAATATGTTTTAACAATCTGCAAAAATTCTCTAAGCTGATCTGCCATTATAAAGTGTCTTACATTCCTCCCTCACATGAGAGTATTAAGGTAATTAAAAGTACTAATGAGAGCAAATAAATAAGGAAGTCTGATTGTTCAGTTTATCATTAAAATTTGAGACCTAACCTATTCTATTATTTTTCAAGAAAGTCATGAGGTCAATAGTCTAAACAGAGCTTTTTCCCTTGAAAACCATTGTACCTCAGCATGGAAAGAAGCTGCGTGCAATCAGTTGTCTTTATTATCCCCATAATTAGTTCAATCAGTTAAAATTTAATACATTAGTCTTTGCATAATTCATGCCATATAACCTAGCTGACATTTTTTTGCAGTAAAATTTCTTGATAAAGAATGCTGTGTTGAGCTCAGATCAAGATGGCAGGGAATAGAAGGACATGGCTCTCACCTCCTCCCACAAATATCAAAAACACATCTATATTCTGGAAATTAAACCTTTGTCAGTCATATCATTTACAAATATTTTCTACCATTCTGTAGGTTATCATTTTGTTTCAGTTATACTTTCCTTTGCTGGGCAAAAGCTTACAAGTTTAATTAGGCCCTATTTGTTAATTTTTGTGTTTATTTCTGTTGCCTGGGTAGACTGCCCCAGGAGATCACCACTAAGATTTATGTCAGAGAACGTTTTTCCTATGTTTGCTTCTAGGAGATTCATTGTGTTTTGTCTTATACTTAAGCCTTTAAGCCATTTTGAGTTTATTTGTGTGTATGGTGTGAAGGACTGTTCTAACTTCACTGATTTACATGCAGTTGCCCAACTTTCCCAACACCACTTGCTGAAGAGACTGTCTGTTCTCCATTGTATGTTCTTGCCTCCTTTGTCAAATATTAATTGACTGTAGGTCTGTGGGCTTATTTCTGGACTCTCTATTCGATTCCATTGATCCACATGTCTGTTTTTATGCCTATACCATGCTGTTTTGATTACTTTAGCTCTGTATTATGGCCTGAAGTCTGGAAGGGTTATTCCTCCAGCTTCGTTCTTTTTCTTCAGTATTGCTTTGGCAATTCTGGGTCTTTTGTGATTCCATATAAATTTTAGGATTATTTGTTCTAGTTCTGTGGAAAATGTCATAGGTAATTTGGTGGGGATCACATTAAATCTGTGGATTGCCTTGGGAAGTATGCCATTTTAACAATATTAATTATTCCAATCCGAGAGCATGGGTTACCTTTCCATTTGTTTAAGTCATCTCTAATTTCCTTAATCAATGTTTTGTAGTTCTCCATGTATCAGTCTTTCACATCCTTGGTCAGATTTATTCCTAAGTAGTTTAGAATATATAAACAGCTCATATGGCTTAACAACAAAGCAAACAACCCAATCCAAAACTGGTTAGAAGACCTAAATAGACACTTCTCCAAAGAAGGTATACAAATGGCCAATAGGCACATGAAAAGGTGCTCAATGTCACTAATTATTACAGAAATGCAAATCAAAATGACAATGAGGTATCACCTGTCAACAGTCAGAATGGTCATCATAAAAATGTCTACAAAGAACAAATGCTGAAGAGGATGTGGAGAAAAGGGAACCCTCCTACACAGCTGGTGGGAATGTAAATGGGTGTTGCCACCATGCAGAAATGGAGAACAGTATGAAGTTTCCTTAAAAATTAAAAATAGAGTTACCATATGATTCAGCAATCCCATTCCTAGGCACAAATCCAGAATAGTTGAAAACCCTAAATGGAAAAGATACATGCACCCCAATGTCTACAGCCGCACTATTTACAATTGCCAAGACATGGAAGCAACCGGAATGTCCATCAACAGATGAATGGCTAAAGAAGATGCAGTATAGATGTATACGATGGGACACTAATCAGCCATAAAAAGAATAAAATAATGATATTTACAGCAAATGGATGGACCGAGAAATGATCTTATTAAGTGAAGTTAGTCAGACAGAGAAAGACAAATACCATATGACATCACTTATAGGTGGAATCTAAAATGCAACACAGTGAACTTACTTATGAAATGGAAACAGACACAGACATAGAAAACAAACTTATGGTTACCAAAGGGAAAAAGTGGTGGGCGAGGGATAAAATAGGAGTTTAGGATTAGCTGATATAAACTACGGTATTTGAAATAGATAAACAGTGCTCGCTGTAGCAGCCCGTATGCTAAAATTGGAACGATGCAGAGATTAGCATGGCCCCCTACGCAAGGATGACACACAAATTCATGAAGCATTCCATATTTTTGGAACTGTATTCAGTATCTTATAGCAACCTATAATGGAAAAGAATATGAAAACAAATACATGAATATGTATGACTGAAACATTATGTTGTACACCAGAAATTGACACAACATTGTAAACTGACTATACTTCAATGAAAAAAAACCCAGGGTCCTACTGTATAGCACAGGGAACTATATTCAATATCCTGTAATAAACCATAATGTCAAAGAATATGAAAAATAATGTATATATATGTATGTATAACTGAATCATTTTGCTGTACACCAGAAACTAATACAACATTGTAAACCAGCTGTGTACATAAAATAAAGAATTAAAAAAAAAAGCTGTGTCTCTGATACACATATTAATAGACAATGAAATATCTCATAATTTGTATTCTGGAGTCTAGACCTAGGTGCATTCTTTGAAATAAAAAGCCTTCCCTTATAGCACCATCGTAACTAAATTACACGTATTCTGAAAGAATTCCCATATTAGCAATCTATCCGTATGTGTCAACTTGCAATAAAAAAATACTTGCTAACTGATTTGTTCTGGGTTGGGCTTTTGTGCTATGGATGTCCCAGTTCCTGAATGTGTTTCTCTGTGATGCAGTTGTAAAGCAGTCCTTGATCTACTGTCTTTACATTCTTCACACAACATTTAGTTTCATACATATATATATTTCTCTCTTTATATATTTGTGCGTAAATGATGCTTAATTGTTGAGCGCTTTATCACTTCACTAGCAGTACATCTGTGCACAGAGCTCCGCGTGGTCCTCCACGTCACCATCAGTTATTCCTTAGAAAGAAGAAACTCAATACAGATTCGTAAGCAGACGAACATAAGCCCTTTTGGTCTTCAATTTCTTCGGAATTTCTTCTCTCTCATCTCTTGGATGACTTCCACTGCCGCATCCAGAAAAGTTGTGGCTCTTCTCAACAAGAAATCCAGTGAAGCGGATTTCATCTTCAGAATTTCACCACTGACAATAATGCGAAGTTCACCACCTTTATTTAAATGATAAGCTGTGTATTTAGAAAAGACATTAAAATGAGAACTATGGTAAAGTACCAATTTAAAATTAATGCTCATATTTTTTTCAGAATTGTATGCACTTTTGGATTACTATTGACTACTTTTAAAATATCACCCAGTGTGACATAATCTTACTGCACCTGTCTCTACGGTGCCTTGTTATTTGGTTTACTAATATCTGAACAGGTCTACAGCCGGATTAAACATGTGAATGGAGTAGCGATTTCAAGTTATTATAAAAGCTTTCATATGCTTACTAGTGATTCTTGTTCTTATCTGATCGCAAAGGATGGATGATAATCTCTGGATAGGAAGTGGTTTGTGGACCGCCACTGAGCATGGCTCTGCATCACAGGGTGTATGCTACCAAAACAGTGAGGAAAAGCAAGAAAGGGGAGGACACCAGACATACAGAGATCCAGAATGAGTGAAGTCACAGGACAGTAACTGAGAAACAGGCAGAGAGCACAACTTCTAGAATGGACAGGGACAGAGGACTCAGGGAAGAAGTTGCAAGGGAAAAAGAAACAGTTGCACTGTTGGCTGCCTGCCGCGCCTGACCATGAGACAAAGATTTTTCAAGAGTCTTTTTAACATATTTGGAGAATTTGGAAAGCTTTAATGATAATGACAGAAAGTCATGAAAGCAAATAAAAAAGATACAATTATCAGCTGCAGGAAAAACAATGTAAATCGTGCTTAAATTGATCATAATGAAAGTATGATAATAATTGCATTGGAGGATGTAAAGAAAGGGATGCAGAGCTTGGGGGATAGAGAATGATTTTTTGTTTTCCAGTAAAAAGTTATTAGATGATGTCTAAGAATTACAAATCAAGAGGTAAGGGAAAATTTTATTATTTAGAATTATGGAATTGGATAAAAGAGTAAACTGCTTAAGAATTGTCAGTAGTTACTTCTGGAGGGCGGTATACAGAATAGAAGTGAAGTAGGAGATTTCTGATTTCAGGTTAAAGTTTGTAAAATGATTTGACTTGTAAAGCTCTGCACAAGTATAAAATAATTTAACGAAAGCTACTAGTCTGAGTTAATATTTTTATTGTTAACTGTATCAAAATTTTGATCTACTAAAATATCTGTTTCATACAGATTATTTTTCTAAATATATGTGTATGTTGGTCTCTATTTAAACTGTTTAAAATTACTCAATTATCATGACTATATCTAATATTCTAATATAATTTTAAACCATTCTTAAAATTTTTAAAAATTTACTTGAAAAATAAATTAATTCTTATTCCATGGATCTTTGTGTTTAAAGTTCAAGAATTTTGACAGTTTAAAAGTTCAATAGGGATTATTGCCTTTCATGCTTATGACTGAAAAGTGGCTCAGAAAACTTCAAATTATCTTTTTAGAAAGTTACCTCACCTCTGAGCAGAAAAACCCCTGCCCTTTAGAGGGAAAGCATTTGTACAAATGTCAAGTAAGAAGAAATGAGGTGAGAGTGGAAAGTATTTGGCAATAATAAATTTTGGCCCTTGCCAGGATTACATTTATTGTGCTTTAAGTTTGCAAAATTTCATATTGTCATGCTTAATATAAAATATAATGATATTCTTTAGACACATAAGTTAAATTTTACATTAAAGCACATAGAAGCATAGACGAACTTGGCTTCTTCAACTTGCTAACAAACTCTGACAAAATCTTTGTGGAGATTTCTTTTCTTATTATTATTTTAATTACAAGGATAATAAAAGCGTGAGACAAAGGGCTTAAACCTGGAATGAATGCTATTCATTCTCACTTCAGCTAGATGATCTTTGCTTGTTCTTCAGTCTTCTATAACCCATAACTTTTCAGAAATTCTTATCCATCTAAATAAAGAACTACTCTTTGGCTGCAAGGTAGGGGATCTGCAATTCCCACTGGAAATGCTACTTGGGGTGTAAAGAGAGGGATGCCTGGGGAAAAAAAACAACATAAGAAATTGCCTTGAGTTATTCTGGAGCAAAATGATATCTATGCTTACAATGGAGACGAGCTTGCTTTCTTGCAGAATACCTGTGCTCCAAGGAAATCATACCTTCTGTCTGAAGATTCACTGTATGGTTCTTACTGGACTGGAAGCAATTCAGTCTACAGAGATCGAGGCCAGGGGGAAGAGAAATATGGCATAGAAACCAATTCATAACTCTAGTCATCCACTCCTAAAATGAATGTGCAGATGCTGTCAGGCTAATATGAATATCGGGTCACAAAGCAGCACAAGGAGAGCATGTGGAAATGCAAGGGACAGGATGACCTGCTTAGCCTGGGTCATATCATGACAAGTGCGTTTCAGTTTTAGGCTGCTTTGGCAACGTATCGTGACAATGAGACTTTTTCTTCTGGCTACCTGCCCAGGGTACGTCCTAGCCCTCCGTTTCTGTGGAGTTGCTGAAGGCTCTGGGTTCAGGTTCACCAATTTGGTTCCTACACTTGCATCTTCTTTCTTTCTTTTAGCACCACAAACATCGGAGGGGTAGGCTCCACTTGCTGCTTCAGATCTCTCACCTTCTGCTTATTCTTCAGCCCACTGTAGTCAAACATAATGGAAACCACTGTCTCAAAGCCGCCAACTATCTGCTGATTTTAAAGGCAAAGATTGCATTTTTGTCCTTATCCTGTCCAATCCCCTTGAAATCATCAAGATTGATGCATTTGTCTCTTCTCTGCAATTGTCTTTAGTGTGGTTGAACTACAGCCCACCATCCCATGTCTCCTCCTGTATCTCCTGTTATTTCTTCTCCAACTTTTTCACCGGTTCCTCTTCTGCTTGTCCCATATACAGGGACCCCCCCCCCTCAAGTCAGTATCCATCTCCTTTCCTTCTTCTTTTCTTACACTGTAGCTACAACCTTCACTTTACAGATAAAACTCAAATGCATAGTGTTTACCTTTCTTTGTTTTTTCTCTTCTGCATTTCAATTCTACATGTCTAATTACCTCTTGAGTAGCTCTCAAATTCAAAGAGCACCTCATCAATTCTCATCTTGTTCTTTCCCCAAATGATGTTTTTCTCCTGTGCCCCCTTATCAACTATGTTTTGGCGTCTTCAGTTCATCCTTAGAAGAATCTTTTCCCTCACCCTGCACATCCAGATGACCTCCTAGTGCTGTCATTTCTACCTCCACAGTGCTTCCCAAATAGTTTTCCTCCATTTCATTCTTGTTGCCATGACATTGGTTCACAATCTATCTTTTAAGCTTTTTAGTTTTTGTTTTTTCTTTTGGAGGGGCAGGGAAGTAATTAGGTTTATTTATTTACTTACTTTTTTTTAGAGGAGGTACTGGAGACTGAACTGAGAACCTTATGCATGCTAAGCATGTGCTCTACCACTTTGAGCTATACCCTCCCCCTTAAACTTTTTAATAGATGCTTCATTCGTATCCCTTCTCTCCAATCCTATGTTATCACCACAGCCCTTTCTAAAAGCCAAGATCTCTCCATATCATTTTCCTGCTTACAAATGTGCTTCTTCCCTACTTGTTAATAAAATAAGTTTAAAATATAATTTTTTAAAAAACCCTATGAGGTTTAATATTTATCATCATCTGGCTCAGTTTCTTTTTCCAGCCTTGGTATTTGCAACCCCATCTCAGAATTATCAGAACACTAATTTCAGAACTCAATCTTTACATTTGTCTGTTATTTCTCTGTTTATAAATAATAATTAAAGACTTGCTGTATACCAAAATTCTAGGCTGTCTACCAAAGATACATAATGGACAAGACAAACACATCCCTTAATATTCATAGAGATCACAGTCCTAGTGCAGAAAAAAAGAATCAAAAGAAAGAAAGAAAGAAAGAAAGAAAGAAAGAAAGAAAGAAAGAAAGAAAGAAAGAAAGAGGAAGAAAGAAAAATCAAGTGTACTACATGCTTTACTAGAGGAAGTGTGAGATTCTAAAAGGCAACTTACCTCATGTGCATAGTGGTAGTGGTGGGGATATGTTGGGCAGAAAATT